AGGCCATCGACGTCGTGAACAACAAGAAGTGCGTCGTGAAGATACTGAAACCGGTGAAGAAGAAGAAGATCATCAGGGAAGTCAAGATATTGCAAAACTTGCGGGGCGGGCCAAACATCATTCAGCTCCTCGACAAGGTCATGGACCCGCACGCCAAGACGCCCAGCCTCGTGTTCGAGCACGTCAACAACACGGACTTCAAGGTCCTGTACCCGACTCTCACGGACTTGGAGGTCAGGTACTACCTCCTGGAGCTCCTCAAGGCCTTGGACTACTGCCACTCCCAAGGCATCATGCACCGCGACGTGAAGCCTCACAACATCATGATCGACCACAGCAAGAAGGCCCTCCGCCTGATCGACTGGGGCCTCGCGGAGTTCTACCACCCCGGCAAGGAGTACAACGTCCGCGTCGCGACCAAGTACTTCAAGGGCCCCGAGCTTCTCGTGGACTTGCAGGACTACGACTACTCCCTTGACATGTGGAGCGTGGGCGTCATGCTGGCGGGCATGATGTTTCGCAAGGGCGAGCCCTTCTTCCGGGGCCAGGACAACTACGACCAGCTCGTGAAGATCGCCAAGGTCCTGGGCACGGACGGCTTGTATGATTATTTGAACACGTATAAGATAGAGCTAGACCCCCACCTGGAGGCGATGGTGGGCCGCCACTCGCGCAAGCCTTGGCTGAAGTTTGTAACAACAGAGAACCAGCACCTGATCTCCCACGAAGCGATGGACTTCCTGGACAAGTTGCTGGTGTACGATCACCAGAAGAGGCTGACGGCCAAGGAGGCCATGGCTCACCACTACTTTGATCCGGTGAGGAACGGGCTCCCGGTGGAGGAGCAATAGCGCGCGTAGATAGGAGTGCCGGGGGGGCGCCGCGCGTGGGGGGGGGGAGAGACTTTTGTGGACAAGACACACACAAAGATGTAAGCCTTTTGGCATTTGTTCGAGTAATCATTAGTTCTAATTGATTCATTATTACAGACTGGGATTACAAGTCTATTTTGACATTATCTTGCATACATTATTAGTGATTCACAATGCTGAGTATTCGATATCCAGCAAATATAATAGACAATCTTCCTCTTCGTAGTAAACATTCCACGGCTTTTCTCTAAATTCTTCTATTTCTCTACTTCTAAGCGCCGCGCCATAGTATATATATTTTTTCTTTGTCTTTCTTTTTTTGTTCACAGTTGTTTTCAGTTGTGTTGTTCCTTTCCTTGCACCCCACCCCGACGACGACGACTGACGGCGGCGACGGGGAGCGCGCACAACATTCACCAGCAAGAATCCTCGTCCCTCGTTGACGTTCACTTCACGTTATTTATTTTCGCCATGATTCTCTTTCCATGAGGTGTTCCCCTCAAGGAAGTCAAGTATGGCTTGATCTGGTCAACTAGATTCTCGTAGAGTGTCCCACTGGAGACGGAAAGGGCGCTCTGCACAACATAGTTCGCGTAGGGGTCCTGCAAGAGTCTCAAGATGTGGGGGTAATCTGCAAGCTCCTGCACGATCTGGTCCTGGCACGGCTTGAGCTCCTCGTTGGTCATCTTCAGGCACTTCTCAACAACGTTGGAGGAGAACTTCTGGGCGCTCAGCTCGGCGTAGTGGCCCGCCAGGCGCTTCATGACCTCCCCCGAGGCCTCGGTCAGCTTGATGTCAAGGACGTACTGCACCACGTAGTTTCCAAAAGGATCCTGGGACAAGAAGTAAGCGTGCTTCGCAATCTCCTTGACGAGGTTTGTCCTCTGCTCCTGGGGTGGCATGATCGATGCATCTCTGAAGGACGCAGCAACCGTGGCGGTGGGTGGCAATCTCGACGCAGTGGGAGCCGGCGGCATCATAAATAAACTGGCACTCGCTGGCGCCAAGCCTCTGCAGGCACCTCTGCACCACGTGGTTACCGTTCAGGTCCTTGATCAAAAGGACGATCCCGGGCTTCAATGCGTCGATCACCAGGCTTGACTGCTCTTGCGTGGAGAGGGTCTCCACGAGCTTCTGCACCGCCCTGGTCCCGTGCGTGTTCAGGGCAATCGCCACCAGGTCAGACTTGAGGGCAACAGCCTTCACGAGGTCGAGCCTCTGCTCCTCGGAGCACCGGTCCAGCAGCTTCTGGATGAGGTAGTTCCCGAAAGGGTCCATCATAAGACTCGCCGAGTGCTCCAGGACTTCTGGGAAGACGAGCTGAATGACCTCGTGGCCGCCCTCGTCAAACTTCTTTTGCAAGAACCTGCAGACGTTCTGGTCCCTGGCCGCGGCGAGCAGGTTGCCCACCACCTCGTCCACGGACGAGTACTGGACGGAGTGGTCCCACTGGGCAGAGTCGTAGGCCTGGTTCTTGTCGTCTCCCAGACCTCCCTGCCTGTTGTTGCCGTCGTGGACCCCCGTCATGCCGTGGTGGCCGTGGTGGTTGTGCTTCCTGTCCCCGTGGTGGTGCCCCCTGCCGTGGCTGTTGCCATAGTGGTTGTTCCTGCCCCTCCCTCTGTTCATGTTCATGCCCATGTCCCCGGAGTGGCCGTGGAGCTCGTGCAGGTGGTGGGACATCGACATGCCGTTGTTGTTCATGCCACCCATGGAGGACCCGGCCCCCGCCGCTGCGGCCGCGGCAGCCGCTGCGGCGGCAGCCAGGGCGCCCGGGTGAGCCAGGTTGCCCCCTGCCATCCCGCCGAGCCCTCCCATGCCCTGCTGGTTCAGCAGGGCGGCCGGGAAGAGCCCGGTCTGCTGCTGCTCCTGCTGCTGCACCATCACGTGGAGGGCGGCCTGGTACGCGGCCTGGTACTCGAGGGACCCGAAGACGGCCGGGGCGCCCCCTTGCTGGGACTGCGGCCCTCCGGCGCCGTTCATCCCGTTCCCGTTCCCTCCGGCGCCGAGGCCTGGGGTGGAGGACCTGGACTGGCTTCCGAACTGGGACGACCCTCCCTGGTTGTTGTTGTTGTTGTTGCCGCCGCTGTTGTTGTTGCTGCTGCCGTTGCCCCCCGGGAGGGAGCCCAACGAGTTCGCGGAGCTCGAGTTCGGGACCGGCGTGCTGTTCATGGACCTGCTGTTGAGCAGGTTGGCGCCCGCGCCGCCGGCCTGGCCCCCGTAAAAGGACTCCAGCTGGCTCAGGTTGTTCACCTGGCCGGAGAACATGTTCATGCCGCTCCCCATGGAGTTGGACTTGGTGCCCATCATCTGGTTGTTGTAGTACTGGTTGTAGGCCTGGGTCGCCTTGCCCTGCGCGTCTCCCTGCTGCTGGCCCCCGGACGTGTTGCTTCCGTACTTTTTGTAAAAGTCCTCGTAGGACTTGTCGTTGTCGAAGTGGGCCGCCGCCCCCCCCGCTTGGTTGTCCTCCACGAAGCCCACGCCCCCGGCCAGGGCCGAGCCGCCGGGGAGGCCGAGGCCCAGGCTGCTGCTGTTGAGCTGGCCGCCCGGCCCCCCCTGCTGCTGGTTCGTCGGCCCGGACGACATCATCATCGCCGCGGCGTTCGTCATGTTCTGCAGGCCCTGCATGTACGGCGGGGCGGAGATGGCGCGGGGCAAGCCGTTGCTCGACCCGTCCCCCGCCTGCTCCTGGCCCTGCTGGCCGCTCTGCTGGCCGCCCTGCAGGCCTCCTCCCTTGGCGCTGCTCGCGGTGGCGTCCCCGAAGAACGCGGTGTCCTCCAGGAGGTCCGCGAGCTCCCTGTCGTACTCCTGCCAGGTGGGCCCGCCCACGGCAGCCCCGCCGGAGAGGAACCCGGCCGCCGCCCCGTTGGTGGCCGCCCCGCCGTCTGCGGCGTTCTGGCCTCCGTTGTTCCTGGCCGCCGCGTTGGCGTTCTGGCCGTTCTTGGCCGCCGCGTTGGCCGAGGCGACCGCGTTGGCCGAGGAAGCCGAGGCGGCCGAGTCCACCACGACGACGCCGCTGGGGTTCGAGGACGACGACGAAGAAGATGGGTTCGCCTTCGAGGATCCTCCGGTGACGGGTTTCTTGTTGGCCTCGCTCTGCTGCTGGTCGCCGAGCAGCTGCCTGCTCTTCAACATGGTGGTGGTGGTTGTGGTGGCGACAGGTCCAGTGCAGTGCAGTAAAATAAAATGGTCGCGCTCGTTCGCTCGTTCGCTCGTCCGCGGTTGCTTGTTATACAGTCCTCCGCAATGGCTTGGCTTGCAGGTCCGTCAGGTCGTCTATGATATAACTATGATATACACGACGTGTTCTGCCTCTGATGTACAAGTGTCCGAGTCCGAAGTCCCTCACTCACTCATTCGTTCATTCGTTCCACAACGCGACGAAGCAGTCAGCAGCAGCAGCTTGAACGAAATTCGAAGAAGATATGGCTCGTTCGTTCGTTTCGTCCGTGCGAATGAACGACGAATGAACCAGGGCTCGATGAAACGAAAACGAAAACGAAAACGAAAATGAAGTGAAACTCTCTGTCGTGGACTCTCCTCTCTCCTCTCTCTCTCCTCTCTCTCCAGAGAGCCCGCCCAAGCGAGTCGCTCCGCCCGATCGACAAGACAAATGAAGCGCGAGTCCTGTTGCGGGATTCCTTTCCTCTCGTCGTGTCTGCGGTCGTGGTCGTGAAGGGTCGCGCACGACGCGTCGTGTGTTCTGCGTGTGTTCTCCTCGTCGTCGTCGCCCACCTCTCTCTCTCGGCTAAGCGCTCTCGGCTCTTTTCTCCGCCGATCGGCTGGAGAGATTTGATTCGAGAGAGCGAAAGGGGAAGAGGGAGGGGGCGAAGAAGGGATTCCTACACGGGAGGGAGGAAAGGAAGGCGACGACGGAGGGTTCGGGGAGAGGCGATCGAGGGAGAGTGGGAGGGGCTCTGCGACCGTGACGCCTCAAGCAGAAAAGAGGGGAGTCGACCTCGAGACTCACGCGGGGGTGCGGCGGCGCGAGTAGAAAAACCCGTGGGGGGGGCCCTCGGAGTGGGGTCGAATCCGGGAGGGCGCAGCTCTATCTATAGGCGCTCACTGCAACAACTGAGGCTGGGAAAGGAGTTGCGTTCCAAAACGCGATTTCTACACGTTTTACTCGCGGCCCCCTTAGCTCAGCTTGGTTAGAGCATTGGTCTTATGGAAAAAAACAGAAAGCCGAAGGTCGCGGGTTCGACCCCCGCAGGGAGCAACGCAACCCTTTTTTTTGTGAAGGGTGAAGGTAATTGTACACAAGGATCACAACGAGATCGTTGATCGTAACGGCGAGGAGGACGGCGAGGAGGTGTGTGACCTGGCGGGAGCTGGAGAGAGGACCATGGTCTTGGTCAAGCACCGCCCGACGAAGAAGGGGAGGGCTCCCAGATGGAGCGAAGGGGAGAAGCGAATCGTGTTATCCCACGGGAGAAGTGGCGCTTCCGACCCTACACTGGTGGACGAGGAGAGACGCCAGCGATGGGACGAGAATGGTGTCGGGGAGGTTCGACCAGGAGGAATGTCGAGACCGGGTGAAGGCGTTCCAGCGCAAGTTCGACGACCCAGCAATGACGCAGACCCCATCAATCGTTGGTCTGCCGAGCAAACAGCAAGGTTCATGGAGCTCTGCAAGGACACCGTTACCGATTGGAACCACCAGGACTATTGGGTATCTTTGCGGCAGGACTGGTTGGCGGAAGATTATGTCCCAAACCCAAAAGCATTCCTTCCGCCGATGCAGAGGGGGAATGACCAGAGCAGAGACCAGAGAGAGAGGAAAGACACATTGCAAAACATGACACACAACAAGAATGATCCATTAACCTGTGGTCAAGTTGATTGTTTGATCGAGGATCTGTTTCTTGTTCTCGACGACCAAGCGCAGCGAAACAAAACAGTAGCTCCTTGACCCTTGTTGACCCTGCACCCATCATCCCCGAGAATCCGCAGTTTGCGCAGGCTCAACGTCAGGTGGATATCTTCGTCCTCCTCCTCCTCCCATGGAATGGAATTCCTCTTCCTCTTGTTGCGGACCAGGCTTGGACCAGTCGCATCTGTCTCTCTCTCTCTCTCTCTCTCTCTCTCTCTCCATCGCACGTAATATATATACCTTGATCGTCTCTTCTCGTCTCGTCTCGTCTCGTCTCGTCTCGTCATCGGGACCCCCCGCCTTTGACCGGATCAAAAATTTTTTTGCTCTGCTCTTTTTCATTCATTCTCTGCTTGTAACGCGCGGCCGTTACCGTTACATTACTCCCGAACAAAAAACAACGACGACGACGACGACGACGACGACGACAATGGTCACCACCACCACCACCACCACCACCACCCTCCTCCTCCTTTGTGCGGCCACCACCACCTTGGTCTGGGGCCAGCAACAAGGTGGACCCTCGTCCTCGTTCTACGACGTGCACCAGGGGGGAGGAGATCTCACCACCACCTCCCCTTCCTCCCCTTCTGCTTGCGACCTCTCCGCCGAGCAGCGGAGCCAGCTCTCTTCCTCGCCAGCTCTCTTCCTCGGGGTCGTGGACGCCACCGACCCGGCGAACGCTGGAGTGGAGTTCTCCTGGACCTTCCCTCCTTCGCTGGACCCGGCGTGCGCCTCGAGCTTCGAGATCGTGTGCGAGGAGCTGGACGAGGACCTGCAGGGGGGGATGAAGAACGCCAAGTCCGCGGTCCAGCACCGGGTCGGGTCCCTGAGCCCCGAGAAGCGCAACGCCGGCCTCGCCGTCCTCAAGGGGCTCGAGTCCGGACGGGTCTACACTTGCGCCCTCACGCTGCCCTCCGCGTCCCCGCCGTCGTCGTCGTCGTCTCGCGGCGAGGTGCAGAGCAGGGGGGTGTACCTGGAGCCCGGGTTCCCCAAGGTGCTCAAGGACACCAGCCCGGGGGGCGCGGCGTGCGTGACCGGGAGGACGGCGGGCCTCGTCAACGCCACCGCGATGTACGTCGAGGACGGGTGCGAGGGCGTCTTCCTCATGCCCGGGCGGTCCAGGAGGTCCCCCGCCCTGGGACTGATGTGCTCCAGCGCCGAGGGCACGAGGACCGAGTGCTACCTGCCCGACATGGACATGGACGACGACGTGTTTGAGGGGATCGAGGTGTTCTGGCAGACCAGCACGGAGGACTGCGTTCCGGGGAGGACGTTCGGATTCGCGTCCAGGGAGGACATGTTCGTCCTGGACGGGTGCGAGGTGAGTGCGGGACTGCGCGCGAATCCTTTGCTTTTCCCCGCGCACAACATCGAGATCGAGATCTCAACTGACACGACTCTCTCTCTCTCTCTCTCTCTCTCTCTCTCTCTCTCTCTCTCTCGTGCTCTCTCCAGGGACAATTCCTCGTGTACCGGGCCGAGGAAGACTCCACCACCACCACCACCTCCCCCACCTTCTCCTCGTCTTCGTTTGTGGTGGACTGCGGGGGTGGATCCCGCAAGCACCCCTCGTACGACCAAAAGGTCTCCAGGAGGAGGTGGTGGTGCCTGTGGCTGTGCCGCACCGAGGCGGACGACCCGCTCGGCTTCTACACGTGCCCCCTGGAGCCCGTGGAGGCCTACGAGGACCTGGACATCCCCCGCAGAAGCTCAAATCTATCCTCGGAGGGGGAGGAGGAGGATCCAAGGCCGGTGGTCAAGTCCTCCCCCTGACGGATGCAAAGGTGCAGAATTCCTCCCCACCAACCCACCCACCCGATGCTGGGCATGCTGCTTTTTTGTAATACACAAAGGAAAGAAAGAAAGAAAGAGAGAAAGAAAGGTCTTTTGATTCTCTGGCACGCACGCGCGAGGGGGACGAGGGAGGCGTCAACCCCAACAGCACCGCCAGCCTGACCCCATCTCTCAATCTTTGCCCCCACCCCCACCGAGGCCACTCATCCCATGGACATTCTGTAGAATCCAAGGTTTTTCAAGCGCATCAGTCCAGCTTCCCGTCCGTCACGAAAGGCGAGCAGTCGCAATCGGTGGACGAGAGCGAGAGGCAACAGCACACACAATGAAGATGCGGGGCCTTCGACGCTTCCTCGCCGCTGCGATCGCGCTGACCCTCCCCATCCTCCTCCTCCTCCTCGGCGAGGCGTCGTGCGATGCTGGTGGTGCAGCCACCGTAGTCGTTTCCGCTCCTCCCAATGCTCCCTCCTCCTCGTCGTCGTCGTTGTCCGTGACCGTGAACGAGGTCATGGCGAGGAACGGAGGGACGCTTCGGGATGAGAGCGGGTCGTCTCCCGATTGGATCGAGCTCCTGGTCAAGCCGAGAGGCGGCGGGGCCGCCCCCCCCTCGGTCAACCTTGGCGGTTACGCCGTAACGGACGACCCGGAGCACAAGGAGGTGTGGGCCCTGCCGGACAGGGAGGTCCCCCTGACGAGAGGAGGGGTGGCCCACGTCGTGATCTTCGCCTCGGGTCGCAACGCGACGACGACTGCGGCGGCGGCGCCGCTCCACGCGTCGTTCAAGCTGAGCGACGGGGGGGAGTACCTCGCCGTGCTGGACGCCGAGGGCCAGGTCGTGGACTCGGTCACGTTCTCGTCCCAGTACGAGGACGTGTCCTGGGGGAGGGACTCCGCGGGATCCGCGGGCCACCTGTCGCGCCCGACGCCAGGGGCGAGGAACTCCGCCCTCGTGGCGGAGGGGACCCCCCTGCTCAAGAGGGTGACCAAGTCTGTCAGCCCCCCGCCGACGATTGAGGACGACATCACGGTGCGGGCGTGCCTGGCTGTGCTCGGGGAGGAGGGGAGGGAGAGGGACCCGTCCTCCGCCAAGGTGGAGCTGCGGTACAAGGTGAACTTCGAGCGCAAGGAGTACGCCGTGAGGATGGAGCCGGCGGGGGGCAACGGCACGTACTGCGGCAAGAGCGGGGAGGCCACCGGGTACCAGGAGTACGTCGGCGTGCTGAGGCACAAGGGGTTCTCCGGGGCCGCGGGAGCCCATCCAGGGGACATGGTCCGCTGGTACGTGACGGCCGAGAACGGGATCGGGGCGAGCGCCCGCTCGCCGGCCTTGGACGTCGTCGCGGAGTCCTCCGCGGACCTCCCGAGGTACCACGGCACGGTCGTCCTCGGCGCCAAGTCCACCCTGGCGGACTTGACCAGCCAGGTGGACAAGCTGTACTGGTTCATCCAGGAGAAGGACAAGTGGGCCATCGAGAAGAGCCAGTGCTCCGCTTTCCCGTGCCTGGCGGACAAGGACGGGGCCCACGAGGCCAGGTGCAGCATCTACTTCCAGGGCCGCTTCTACGACAACGTGAAGATGAGGCAGAGGGGCATCTCGGCGCTGTTGTGGCCGAAGAAGAAGTTCAAGGTCGACTTCAAGGGCGCCAACTTCAAGATCAAGCTGCCTGGCGACGAGGACATCAGCGTGGAGGAGTTCAACTTGCAGTCCCACTGGGAGGAGCCCGGGGAGGAGACCTACATGAGGGAGAACATCGCCTCGGACTTCTTCAAGGATGCCGGCCTGCCCGTGTTCGAGACCCTGCACGTCGAGGTCGTGCAGAACGGGAGGTTTTACGGCCTGTACTCCATCGTGGAGCAGATCGATGAGAACTTCCTGAAGAGGATTGGGTACAACCCGAAGGGGCACTTGTACAAAGCTTTCTCGGGGACGGCGTCCAATCTCAACGACCGGGTTCCGGAGCGCCTGATGGACAAGGTGTACCGCAGAGGGAACAGGGTGGAGGACGAGGACGACTGGTCTGACCTGCACGCCCTGACGCAATCCCTCGCGGGCAAGAACAGAAAGTACTCGGGCGTCGAGGAGTACCTGTACAACCACGCGAACATCCCTGAGCTAGTGAATGAGCTCGCCTTGCAGGCAGCCATACTGAACCAAGATCGATGCACGAAGAACTATTACGTGTACTACGACACCGACATGGAGGAATGGTCTCGGTTCCCCTGGGACTTGGAGGCGGTGATGGGAATCAGCAGTGCTCTCGGGGGAGTCCCCGCGCCAGACTACTGCATGCTGGTGTGCCCCCAATTCAACAGCCCGCTCTACTGCGACAGCGACCATCCTCAGGATCCCCTCCCAAATTACGGATCTCCTCAGGCGAAACATTATGTGAGGAAGGCAACCGTCGTCCCTGGGCTCGAAACGCCTGAGAAGAATTACAACCACCTGACCGATGCCTTGCTGGACACCCCGAGCATTAGGGAGATGTACCTGAGGAGGCTCAAGACGATTGTGGACAAGTACCTCGCGACGGATTACTTGAAGGACAGGG